TGAACTCAGGGCCTTGTGCTTGCCAGGCAAGCACTTATTCTACTGAGCCATCTCCCTGGCTCCTGTAGTTTTGTATTTTGAAAGCTATACTACTATTAAAAGGTGCTATGTAGTTATATATAGATTAGCATTTGCCTATTACAGTGATACACATGTCATTCAGTAGAATGACGGGTAAACAATTGTTCATTTGTCTGTTTAAGAATTCTTGGTTTGGTTTTTGTTTGTTTGTTTTCTTCTAGTTTATAAACTCTTGAGAATTCATCCCTAGTTGTTTTCTTTTTTTTTTTTCCTAGTTGTTTTCAATCTCAAAAGTATAAACTTTTTGAGAAGAAAAATAGCCAGGAATTATTGTAGTATTAGAAAAGGAACTAATATGTTTGATTTAAGAAAAAGCCCCCAGAAAATAGATATATTCTATTTACAGAACAGATATTCCTTAAGAGTTTATTGTTAATGGGAATGTTGTATGATTAGATTGGGAAAACACTTTGCAAAAAATGGAAAGAATGGGAGCCGTTGAATAGAATCATCAAAGGAAGAAGTTCTAATCTCAGCTACGTGATAGTGCTTAATCCACCTAATTTCTGTGTCTTACGTAACATAGTATTACCATTTGTGGAAGTTGAGAATTTAATGATGTTAGTTTATCTTTCATAAATTGAAAACAATTTAGAAAGGTATATCCATATAGTTTATTAAAGTAAAACTTATAGGTTACAAGTGAAGGTTTTCAAGAAGTGAATTTCATTATTTTATGTAATTAGCTGGCAGAAATATTAGAGTGGCTCTCAGATTTGAAGTCCACTCAGAGCTTTAGAGGCTAAACCTGGAACTCAGGGTACTCCAGAGTCTCTTTACTACTGGTAGCCTAGGCCTAAACGATATCCTTGTAGTCATTGAGCTAATGAGAATGGCCATCTCATACACTAATCTTACGTGAGGTGGTAGGAGGGAGAATGAAATATTGTGTATTTACAGCCCTAATGTGGGACTTCAAAATATGTGGAATTCTACAGAAAAGAGCTTGCTGTTCTTATTGGAAGGGTGAGACTAGAAGAGCATTGTAAGCAAAAGTAATGGTATAACATGGCTACAAAGAGTATCAGATGGAATTTAGCTGATTACTATAGAAATTAAAACTGATGCTGTATATCAAATATAAAAATTCTAAAGCAAGGGATTGAATTACTCTTAGCAGTCCTTTTCTTAAGCACTTCAGAGTTTGACCACTCTGCTGCTGTATGCTGCTGTGTGCCCCAGCACTCTCATAGTATATCTTTCGTACTCTGTAGCCATGTTAAGCATCTTCCTCATACTAGTCCTACTTGAAAATGAGGAAATTGAGGCTAAAGAAGCTAAAATGAATTGCATTTAAGATCATGTAACTAATATGGAACCAAAATTTGAAGCCTGAGTTAAAAACAAAGTCCCGCTTTTCTTTTAATACCAGCATGTCTCAATGACTGTCATTGAGATACCACTAAAAGCAAATGAGGGTATGTATGGATGCTTGGGAGATTTATTGGCACATATTCAATATAAAAATTATTCATTGCTCCATAATGTAACAACGGTCTGTCTTTAAATGCTGAAGTTGTGTTGTTTTGTTAATTCAAATTGGGAATTAAATAGTGTGGAAGATCCATAGCATACTATTTCAGTATGGGCAAAATGGCACACTATGCCGTATTATCTAGATGACTGATCCAATGCAGATTATCTCGCTCTAGTCCAAACAACTCTTAGTTAGAATCTCCAGCATTTCCTTTGTATAAGCCAAGGATATTTCTTACTGTTCTTTTTCCTGAATTTTTTTTACTTATAGCAGATAACCAGTAGCAATGATCTTTCTGTACTTTTAGATTCTGATTAACTCAACAAATAATGTACTCTAAATTTACATAGCTTTGGAATTTATATTTATAATTATATTCATAATTACTGTGTTAAGTTAAAGCTTAAAGTAGTCATTGTTGTTGATACTTACTTCAGGCATGTACCATACAGGTTCTGGGCATTATAGAGCCAGCACCTTTTTTCCCTCCCCTCCCTCTCTCCTTCCTTCCGTCCCTCCCTCCCTCCAGATATCGAATTCAGGACCTTGTGCTTGCTAGGCAGGTGCTTATATCTTCCCAGCAGAGCCAATACCTTTTTTTAAAAAGAGAGATTGGGTGCTAAAGGGAGAGAAGGAACAGCAAGCCGTTCTGCTTATTATGTAGCAGTACTGCCATTTGTAGGGGTTGGGTGAGTTTAATAATAATGGCATAAATCAAGAAGCCAGGGGCTGGGGAGATAGTCCAGTGGAATAAGTACTTGCCTGGCAAGTGCAGAGCCCTGAGTTTGATCCCTGGTACCACACACACACACAGCCAGGCATGGTAGCACACAGTTCTAATTCCAGCAGTGTATAGGCTGAGGCAGGAGGATTTGCAGTGAGTTTGAGGCCAGCCTGGGCTACATGTAAGATCTGGTCTCAAAAAAAAGGGAGGGAGGGTCATAAAAAGGAGAAATCAAAAGAGTGCTTTCTAGCCAGGTATGGTGGCATCTGCCTGTAGTCTCAGCACTTGGAAGGCTGAGGTAAGATTACCACAAGTTAGAGACCATCATACACTACGTAGTGAGTCCAGTATTAGCCTGGACTATACAATGAGTCCCTGTTTCAGGAAACTAATTAAAAAAAAAAAACCTAACAGTGTTTTTTTAATAAATATGATGAAAGAATGTGATGTTTCTCCAATACAGAAAACAAAGTAGGTTGCCTTTTTTGTTTTCCTAGAGAACTATGATCATTATTTGGTGACTTATGGATAGTGTGGTTCAATCCCCGGTTCCACCAAAAAAAAAAAAAAAAAAAAAAGAATAGTGTGAATTGTTTGTTCTCTTGTGAGTTTCCAGCTATATCTACAACATAGTATATTTAGACACCATTTGAATGGGAACATCAGTTCAGCTGATGGTATAAAAGTAGGGGAAAATAGACCGTGAAAATAATTTTTCATTATTTTAAATCATTTGGCAAATTTAAAAACATTTTAAAGTAGCTATAGTAGTTATGAAAATCTTCATAGATATTTGGGGCCAGGGAGATGGCTCAGTGGAATAAGCACTTCCCTGGTAAGCTTAAGGGCCTGAGTTTAATCCTCGATTCTGCAAAAAAGAAAAAAGAGAGAGAGGAAGAAAAAGAAAATACAGATATTTATTTATTTATTTATTTATATTTTAGGACAGGGTCTACAGGGTCTCACTATGTAATGATTCTCCTGTTTCCAGCCTCCCAAGAGCTGGAATTACAGGTGTGCATCACCATGCCCAGTCTCATTTGCTGTCTCAGTGTGCCCTGGGGGTGGGGATGGCACGGCGCTCCGGGGATTGAACCATAGCTGCTGCATCTGCCTAAGCAAGAAAACCTTTATAGATGCTAATTAGTGTAAACATGGTTTTAGTTTTTGTAAACCTTTAAAAAGCTCATCTGGCATAATTTTTCTTACCAAAAAAAGTTTCTTTCTCAAGCAATTTATTTTTAAAATATTCTGTTTTATTTTTTAGATGATAGCATTTCTGCTGCAAGTACTTCTGATGTTCAAGATCGCCTTTCAGCTCTTGAGTTACGAGTTCAACAACAAGAAGATGAAATCACTGTGCTAAAGGCAGCTTTAGCAGATGTTTTGAGGCGTCTTGCAATTTCTGAAGATCATGTAGCCTCAGTGAAAAAATCAGCCCCAAGTAAAGGTAATTAAGTGGGTTGTAAAATGGCAAGTCTCCTTTTAGCAACATTTCTTTGAAAACTAAAATAGGAAATACAAAATTGTTTTCTCTTGGATTACTTGTAATTATAATTTATTTCTTAAAGTCTATTCTTTGTTTAAATTGGGATATTTTGTGTAATACAGCATATTGCACTTACAGGTACTTACATCGTACTGTTTGTATGAAGTTGGAATCTCCCAGTTAGAGAGTGTGTTTGCTGAGATAATAGAGTTTCTTCCTCTTCTTTTTCTTTTTCTTTTTCTTTTTCTTTCTTTCTTTTTTTTTTTGTATTTTAGGGAAGAATCTACAGGATATTCAGGGTCTCACTACTAGATTGGACTCATAGTGATCCACCTGTTTACAGCCTCCAAAGAGCTAGGATTACAAGCACGCACCACCATGCCCAGTCTCAGTTGCCATAGATGTTCTGAATCTGTTTGTCCTACTCTGTCGCAAACACAAGTAGATACCCATATGTTTAAAATCAATTCTATTTTTACAGAAACATGCTTAAAATTATTATAGTTTAAGAAGCTTTGTTCTAAGACCTCTGTAGTTATTAGTTAAATAGAAGCCTGGAAAAATTAACTTAAACTCTATAACATGTTGCCAACCCTTGTACAATGGGAATTATAACTTCCAGATAACTGGGAATTTTCAAAGTTGAAAGAAACAGACCCTGTTCTGGGGTTGAAGCAGATAGGCCCTTTCTTTTCCTTTTTTTTTTTTTTTTTTTTGATAGGCCCTTTACCACCAACAAAGAATTAATAATTCTTCCAAATTAATCAAATACTTGACTATATCGTTTCACATCTTTTAGTGAATTCTTGGTAGTCTAGATAAGAACTGGCATGATTATCTTTACTTCAACAGTGGGAGAAAGTAAGGGTATGCACTTGCGTTATCTCTTTGCTGCAGTATGTAAATAAATACAAGTTACTAACCTAGTGAGGAGTTTACATACTTCCCAGATTTATTATTTTATTTATTTTTTGGTACATTTTAGGGAAGGGTACAGGTTGTTCAGGGTCTCACTGCTAGATTATAGTAATCCCCTGTTAACAGCCTCCAAGAGCTGGGATTACAGGCGCATGCCACCACGTCCAATCTATTCCCAGATTTTAAGTAGGTAAAAGACAGTATAGTTAACAAGGATATGGGAAACAAATCTGAAAGATAGATTGTGAATTTAGGTTTTGAGTGTTATGTTTGGGGAGTACTTGGTATTTGAATAGGCATATACAGATGTAGGCTTAGGACTGGAGTAAATTTTGGTTGGCAAAAGAATTTGGGACTATCCAGGTTCTGGGTAAGCATTAAGCAACAGAAGGGAGCTATGAAATGAGAAGGAAGCCTGAGGCGGCACCATCTGGGCTCTCCAACACCACAGTATGATGAAGTGACTCATGTTGTCAGCTGCTGCAGGAGAGGTTGGATAAACCAAAGACTGAGAGGTGACCATTTGATACCTGTAAGAATACTGGAACCATCTTCAGAGCTATTTTAGTGGGGTAATGAGATTCAAAATCAAATTGTAGTGTTTTGAGAAAATTAGTAGAATTTTTCAGCGACAAATATACCCACTATTTAAAAATTTGAGTAGGGAAGACTGATATTGTCTAAAAGAATATGATATGTTGAAGGCCAGTTTTAATTTGTAATTTTTGTTTTTATTTTTCATTTATTTTGTTGGTTCTGGGAACCAAACTCTGGGCCTACAGAAGTGTTCTGCCACTGAGCAACACCCCTACCGTCTTGTGATTTTTTTTGTATTTTTTAAGATGTTACAGAATCGTTGAGGACAGAGACACTAGAGTGGAAATGGTCCTGGGAATGAGTAGTAGTTGGTGAAAGAAAGGTCCTGAGACCTTAGAAGGATCTCAAGGTGGGAAACTATTAATCTTAGAAATAAGACTACTATTTGAGGTAATATGGAGTGGTAAAACTCACAGAGGTCTAAATACTCAGTTATCTGGGCTGGAAGCTTCAGCCCTGTGAGGGGACAGTGATAACTAAGAAATTAAGACAGATTTGGGGTGGTGGAAAAAAGATTAACTATTTGGACTATTTAGAGTAGAGAATGGAAAACCGTAAATATAGGAAGAAGAAGAGCTGAGTAAACCTTGAGAATATGGAGATGAGAAACTGGTGGGGAAGAATAGGCGTGCATTCTTCTGCCTTGCTCTGGCTCCTTACCTCTTGTCTTAAGCATTCTGGGCCTAGGTGTTTACAGTGGAGAAGCAGAGAGAGGGCAGAGGTAACCTTTCCTATAAATGATGGCAAGATAAATGAATCAATAACAAAAGATAAGACACCTGGGAGTTTGGCAAAGACTTTTGGTAGCAAATATTTTGGATAATGTATTATTGTACTACACTTAATCTTAGCTGAAAGGCCAAGAAGTGATGGATAATGTTTTAATTTGGCTTTTCTTTTTTTAACCAACTTCGAAGATTAAGCTAGTAAAAAAAAATTGGTTTTCATAAGAACTTTTTAGAGTTACTAGAGTTGAATGAGAAACCAGGTCAGTTAACATATATGGGCAAAACTTTGTAAGGAAGGAAGAACAAGTTTCTATAATGTATAGTGTATGTACGTATGTTGTAAAATACACAGAGATTCTGTCCTCCACACCAAAAAATTTATACACACTTCAGGAAAAGAAAAAAATTGTATTTAATATTTTAATGTTAGATTTACTAAGACGTCAATTAATACAAATACAAATTTTGGCCTCTGCAATTACAAGAGGTACTCGAAAGTGGTGGCCATTAGCTTTCAGGCATTTGTTAGTACGATGAAGCGCTGCTTCTGCAACCCTGGTCATTAAGATGGCTGCACATGCATTTTTAATTGCTTTTGTAAGGGCTGGCACTACAGAGCATTTTCTAAAACATTCTTTAGGGTAATGCCATTTGTTCAAAACACATCCTCATCTTCTGAGTCTATATATGAAGTCTTGCAGTAGAAGGCGATAAAGTATTTCTTGCCAGCTAAAGTATTTTTAAATGTATTTTTTTAAATTGACACAGAGTAATCATATTTGTAGGGGATAGTATGCCATTCAGTACAGATATGCACTGTGTGGTGGTCTGGCCAGGACAATGGGCGTGTCTGTTTAGCATTTCTTTGTATTGGGCACATTTGAAATCCTCGCTCATAGCCATTTTGAAATAACTGTTACTAGTCTTAGTTACCATTCTGTGCTGTAGAGCATTAGAATCACCCTTCGCATCCAGCCGCATCCCTGTACCTGTCAGCTCTCCTGTCTTCAACGCTTCCTCGCCTGTACCCTTTCCAGGCTCTGGTAACCACTGTCTTCTTTAACTTTTTAGCTTCTACACATACATGAGAATGTTAGGTATCTTTCTGCCTTATGTATGCCACTTAATATCCTCCATTTCCATCCATTTGCTGCAAATTTCATTTGTGATTGAATCATATTCCACTGTGTATTTATTTACCACATTTTCTTTATCCATTTATCTGCCAAGAGTCCCGTAGAGTGATACCATATCTTAGCTGTTGGAAATAGTGCTGCAACGGACATCCGAGTGTAGCTGTTTCCGAGCACACTTTGTTTATTACAGACATCCACCTACAAGTGCGGTTGCTGGGTCATATGGCAAACGTTTTGAGGGACTTCCATACTGGTTTCCCCAGTGGCTGTGTTAGTTAACATTCCCATGGTGTGTGAGAATTTTCCTTTCTGTGTCCTCACTGTCATTTGTTAGTATTTGTCTTTTTGATAACAGACACCCTAAACTGAGATGATACCTCAGTTTAGTTTTGTTTTGCATTCCCCTAATGATTATCAAGTTGAGCATTTTTCTACATTTTTAAAAGATCATTTTAAAATAGTTTTGTTAGTCCTTTAAAATGTTTTAAATTTTTTCTTATTCTGAAACAGTATATTATAATCTTGTATTACTTGATAAAAATTCAGATAATTTCCTCCAAAGTGTTGGGTTTTTTTTTGGGGGGGGGGCAGAACCAGGAATTGAACTCAGGCCCTTACACTTGCCAGGCAAGCACTTACTCTACTGAGCTCTCTCCCCAGCACCTCCCTCCAGTTTTATTTACAAGGTATTTTAGTGAAGACAATCCTGAAGTATTTAAGGGAAATTCAGAGAATGCTATTTAAAAAGGAATTCCGTGGGTAAACCACTTATTGTATATCAGAACATTGGTTAGCACCTACCTCTCAGAGTCATTAAAATATATAAATGTTGTAAAACATATATAGTTTTATTCCCCAGCAACAAGTTGTCTTTTCTGATATTCTTACACATAATTCTTCTCTAAAATAAGACTATGGTTCACTTGTTTAGTGGCTTTTCAATGGAGAATTACAGCAACCATTTCCGGAGCAGCAGAACCACCTCTAGCTGCTACATTGGCACTTGAGTGGCTTCACTTTTGGCATTGTGTATGTCCTAAATCAGATCAACTGTCAATTGTCAGTTTTGACATTAAACATGACAAGTATATTAGTGGTATAAAAATTTGAAATAAACAGTTTAAACAAAATATTTTCAAATAAGTGATTTTTCATGGACTTCTTGAAATGCAGTTATTTTATAGAGATTTATAGTTCTTTCTTCAATTAGAAAGGTTGATTCTTATATGTGGACAGTTTTGTCTCGTGTTTTTTTCTTTTTTTGTGCAAGGTCTCACTATGCAGCTTGGATTCGTAGTGATCTTCCTGTTTTTAGGCCTCCCTGCGCTGGAATTACAGGCGTGCTCCAGTATGCTTGGGGGTGGGGCTGGAGCAGCATGTGGTGCTGGAGATTGAAGCCTGGTCCCTGTGCTTGCCTAAGCAGGCGCTTAGTCTGCTGAACTATCTCACTAGCCTTTCATGTGTGAATTTTTTACTCCTCTGTGAAAATAGAATTTTTAAATACAGTTAGTTCACCATATCTGGATTTAGCCAAACAAGGCTAAGAAATATTCTCAGGGAAAAAACTGCTGAACATGCAGAT